CTAGCTACAAAACCCTCTGAAGAGAATACAAATGTTATGTTACCCAAAATTGCTGGCTTATGGCAATAAATAACACACTAAAGATGATGAAAGGAAGTTAATTCATTAAATTTATATGTTGTCCATCTCACTATTCAAATCAACTCTGAGTGGCATATAAATACTAAAGTTATTTGCAAAGATACAACTATTCATCAATGTTTGAAAAGCAACTACTTTTCCTGAGATCTACAAGCTATAAATGCTTATATAGTGTTGTAGGCATAACATTAAGGTATAAATACAGAAGCAATACAAACATGAACAAAGCCACAATAAGTAATCCTATAAGGATTATTTAGAATTTGAGTACCCTACTTAGAGCTGAATAATACATTCCAAGGGAACAAAATGCATTCAATTATACATTGAAATTTTACACGAAATAAAGTTTTCAAAAATTTGTGGTCAACATTATTACTTACATTGTTATTATATTGGCTAACCATGCAAATATATAACTGTGGTTTTCAGTTTTATACTTCTACAAATATTCAGATATAAAAAACCAAAAGTAACGCAGTCAGAAATTAAATTCATTTTTCTTCTAATCCACATATATCTTTATTCACATAGATTTTCATGCTGAGTAGTTGCACAGAATCTAAAGAATCTTTTTGTCTTTCTAAGTCTAGGTCTGAGCCACATCGTACAACAATGATGACATCATGTAACAGATACAGATATGTCTACGGAGAGTCACAATTATCCAGGTTGTGATTGTCATAAAGGTGCTTTTCAAAAGGCAACTGAAAAACACCTTTGTGATAGATACAGATATGAAAAATATAAGTGCATAGCAAAACAAAGTTTTTAAAATAGTAGCCATGCAAACTGGTTTTCAGTTGTGCTTCAATACTCAAAATTCTGCCATTTAGTCCTTTCATACATACTGTATGTCCTCTCTAACATTTATGCATACATGCTCACAGGTCCAATTCATATATTATGTTTGTCTGCCTATGGTTTATTGAATAATTTGTAATGGCTGGATTTAAATAACATGCTTGTTGTTCAGTTGCTAAGTCGTATCTGACTCTTTGAGACCCCATGGACCACAGCACGCCGTAGCTCCCCCCCACTCCACTGTCTCCTGGAGTCTGCCCACTGTATCAATGATACTATCTAACCACCTCATCCTCAATAACATGCTCAGTCAAAACCAAATAAACCACGTTATGGTGTAATATAGTAATAATAATAATAATAATTTTATTGTCATTGTATGTGTATGCACAGTATACCCATACAAGGAAATTCACTTAACACCCAAAGACTGCATAAATATACTGCATAAATCTAATGATCACAAAACATTAAAAGTGCAATTATTTAATTAATACACCACTCATCACTCACTCATGCAGTAGAATGCATGTTATATGAGCCTAGCCAATTATTATTTAAATAGTGATTCTATATAATGTATAAGCAATCATTTGGCAAAACACCTCTGTACAATATCAAATCATAACATTCAGGAATCAAAAGTAACAACTAAAGGAAACATAGGAGACCACATAGTCCAGCCCATATAGGAATCCATTTCTACAGCATTTGCTGCAGGAACTTTCCAAGTCAAAAAGCTGCAGTAGTAAAACAGGTTATTGTACCGCAGGGCTAGGAAAGACTGAGTTCTGGTCTATCATCTGTCAGTCAAAATGTTCTATTGATATGCAAATAATTATCTACCTTATTTAGCTAGCTTACAAAGGACAAAAGACTTCTATAATATATTGTATTTGTAATTTTAAGTAAAATTGTTTGCAACTAAAAACGAATTTTCAGTAAGTGTTCATTGTTTAATTTTTAACAGTATTCTAAAAATTAAATACTAAAGGTTAAATAACAGCTAAATTAACATTATCAACCAAGCTTTAAATAAATATTTTAAGATATCAGGATGGAATTACACATGCAAATATTTGCTCCTCTCTTTGAACAAATAATGACATATCATCCTTAAATTTATTTCAACATCTTGCTCTCCCTGTCAGCTAACCAAAAAAAGAGGAAGAAGGTAGATGAAATCTTTTTCTCATTCCAACACACCCTCCTCTAGGGTGATCAGGATCTAAAAACACCATACCCAAGGTAAACCCTGAAAGAATGAGTACAACTATGACACTCCCATTTTAAGTATGTTCAGAAATATTCTAAGATCAGGTGTGGGGGGGGAAAAAGACTGAAGGTCACTGCCTTCCAATTCTTAAGAACTTAGAACCTATACTCTACTGGATCAAATAATTCTACATTTTGTTTCAAAGATCATCCACATTTTGTTTCAGAGATCATCTATGAGAAAATCAAGAGATTTCCATTGTTCCACAGGAACAGATATGGAGAGGACCATTCTTCCCGATACCTCCAACATGCCAGGGGTTCTTACACTTCCTCAAAAATCTGACAACAAAGAGCAGAGCAGGAAGAAACAAGAAACGCTTTACCTGCATTCGCCCTCCAGATAAGGAAGCCGACCTATTCCCCCATCGCAAAAGGGCAGGTAAGCGACACGAAGCGGCGGCGGCGGCGGCGGCTCTTCCTTACAGTGCCATTACAATAGCGCTCATTTTGCCCGCGAGCTACAACTACTCTGCGCCACCTGCTTCCGGGGACAAGGGAGAGAAAGAACCTAAGCCGCCCAACCGGCCTGGTTCGGGACCATCTTTGCCCCCAAAGCCCTTAATCAGAGGAGCAGCCTCCAAAGGCAACGAAGGTTTTCCGTTTGCTTCCAGGGATTTAAAGAACGAGAAAAAGAGACACGCAAGTTTATGAGCAGCTCCTTATAAGTAGGAACTAACTATTCGCCTACTACACGGTCTGTTGGGAAAATGCGCAAGAAGTAGGAAAAGTACACCAGCCCGAGCCTTTCAGTTTTCGAGAGGAGGGAGCAGCCGCGAGGCGGGCCGGCTGAGTAACTCATGCAGACCCCCCACACACACCTCTTTCCCACCCACCCCGCTTTCTCGCCCACCTGCCCGCCCTCCAGGGAAAAGCAGCGACAGCCCCCTCCCCCTTCAGCGGGCCCACAACCCAACTTCCTCCCTGGAGCGAGTAGAGGGAGAGACTCCGCGAAACCCAGCCTCCGGGCCTGAATGTTGCTTAGTGTGTGTGTGTGTGTGTGTGTGTTTTTTTTCCCTACCCGAAGAGGAAGCTGCGATCCCCCTGCCCTTCCTGCGCGCCAGCCAGGTCTCCGCTCCTCCAGGAAGAACCCGCAGCCACCACGCCGCTCAGACTCACCGGACGGGAGCCAAGCTTCTCGCTACCGGCCTGACCGCTTGGGGCAGGGCGCGGCCTCCTACAATGGCGGGGAGGGCCCACCGGGCGGCCAAGGGAGTAAGCGGAATCGCCGCGCGTGGTCACAGCCCGGGAAAGGAAGAGGCGGAGCCGGCTAGGCGGCTTCGGGCGCTGAGCTCAACGCCACAGACAGAAAGAAAGAAAGGAGGGAGGGAGGGAAGGAGAGGCGCGATGCAGCACAGTTACTGAGACTTAGCGGTCCTATTGTTGCATGTGGAGGGGCAGCGGTGTACTGCATTTCCCACAACAAGGTATCTGTAAAGACTGTTATTGGCGTGAAGGAAAATTATTGGGTAAGCTGCACAAATAACACGGGGAACGTCGAGATGCTGAGATCCTATGATCAAGAATGCAAAGATTCTTCTGTTCGTTGTGTTAAATTTACAGTCTGTATGCAGTTTTAATTTCTGAATTACTTCTTTGTCGTTTTGAATTTAGCTTTATTATGGATTATAAAAATATTTCTGGGTTTAATTATTGCTCAAGTAAAACAAGTGATGTTTTTGTGTGTGCTTTTATTGGTATGTGTTTGTTTCTACCGGTCGTTCTATAATGCTTTTCTTTCCAGAGCCAGCCAAGTTGTAAGAAATTTAAAAAATACAGAAATTTAAAAGTATCAATATAAAAATGAAAAACAAAATGCATTTTACAAAACAGAACGTTAACAAGTAATCTAAAAGACATTGATGTATTACCCAATTATTTTCAAAAAATATATGCTTATTTTTTTTAAATGATTTGGTAGTGGCAATTTATTTTTTTAAAAACGTAGTATTGCTACTGAAATGTAGCATCTCAAACAGAAACAGTTAAAAGCCCACTTATTTTTCCCAGCTAACTAAATTATGACTTTTTTCCTCCTGTTTTTCCGTCCCTTCACTGGAATTATTCTAGAAGGCTTCTGATTGAATCACCTAATTCTTAGTAAATTTCATTTTGTTGTATATAGTTGGTGATATGCTGATTTAACCCAAATTATGATTAGAATAGTAAGCATCAGGTTTAGCAGTGTGGTTGTCACTGACAATAAATAATCACAGGTTTTCTGTAGCTACTAGCTAGAAAATATTGCTACAAAATGAATACAGGTAACTCCTCAACTTATCACAATTGAGTCCAAAATTTCTGTTGCTAAGCAAGTCAGTTGTTAAATGAGTTTTGTCCCATTTTATGATCTTTTTGCCATAGTTATTAAGTGAATCACTGCAGTTAAGTGAATCAGGTCATTAAATGAATCAGAAGAGCAGTTCATGTGCGCCGGGACACTGAGCTTCTGGTTTGCAGCATGCGTGTCAGTCACCTCGTCTTCTAGTTTCTGGCATGCATGCATGCGCAAAGACCAGCTGGCCAGCACACATGCACGCCAGGGAACTGCTCTTCTGGTTTCCAGCGCTCCCACGCACATGAAGATGCACACGAGAACCCGGGAGAGCAACAGGCAACATCTGGCATGCCCAGAGAGAGATGGCTCTGTGTGCCACTTCCGGCATACGTGCCATAGGTTCGCTATCACCATTAGTGGGTATGCAAACTGAAATGAATAATAAAGCACAGATAAAAACCTGAAAATGAATCATCAAATGAAAAGAGAAATAACCAGCACACCAAGCCAAAACAAGGACAAAAGAAATATTTAGTGAAAAAAAGTCACCTAAAATCTCATCCTCCATGTTAACTTTTATTGGGTTGATCATAAAAATAACATGTCCATCCCCAATACTGTAGCCAATCCAAAAATTTGATTGTTATGAAACAAAACATTCAGCATTGCTAACAGTTATAGGGTTATTTCTGCCTCTTCCTGCTTTTGAGAATTTAAACCAAGTAGCACCTGCCACCAGGCTATTTCCTCTTGCATTACATAGAACAGTTTTAGGTTTTTGAAATAACAGTTTAGATGTCAAGCAGCTTCTAGACCTGATGTCCCTGGTCTGGTACTTTCTGTCTACTTTTTCTCTTAGCTGCAGTTTAAAATACATAGATTAATGTTTTGAGCACAGAACAGCAAAATCCCCAGTTCATTAGTGTACCTAACCTCATCTTTTTTAAGGACCCAATATTGTGAAATGCTAGATCTGTGGCTCTGAGTACAACCACTATCTTTGTTATTCCCCCATACCTCTGAGTGGGATGGATATTATGAGGTAAAGAAATGTGCATGCTGTCATTTACCAAAGTAACATGGTAAGTTGTGGGGAGATAGTTTGCCTAGTGCTAAGTAAATCATTCTTAATCACATCACCACAAGCAAAACTTTTGAGTCAAATGGGTTTAGCCCATTTCTTTAAAACTATGTGGTTTTATTAGAAATATATCTGCAGTGATTAATAATGAATAGTTCTTGTGTCAGTATAAAACAAATGTAAGAAAAAATGTTCTTTTCAAGAATGGTTCATTAGACTTTATCACCAGACCTGCTGATTTATGAGGACATAAACTGAAACTGAATTCTCTATGAAACTGAGGTTGTACATATACCTTTCCCTAATTATTGTGCATGCCAACTCTAAAAAAGAAGCATAAGAACATACAATATTGATATATTGGCAGAGTGCCTGTGAATGCAGCCTAAGTGTTGTACAGAAGAATTATTTATAATTGTATATTTACAATTAGAGGAAGATTCATTTTCTAGTAAGACCAAATTGTTATATTCATTTCCAGCAGACTTCAGCTAATAAAATCCTAAAAGATTTTGGATCCATAGATAATATAAACAGATTTACAGCTGATGTTTCATTAAATGCCTCTTATTAACTTCTTATAAGTAGTTAATTCGGTGACAAAAAAACACTCCAAGCCAATACAGAACATTGTTCAAATAGATCTTGAAGTAGTGCAATAGCTGTAGCTTTGCCTCAGTTATCACATAGCATGTTGTAGAGAGAACAAAAGACTCAATGTTCAAGCAATTTGTCATCCAGTGATGAAAAATATCACATGACAAGGTTTTTTAAAAATAATGTTTTAGAGGGGATTCATTTTAGACAGATTAATACATGTGAAAAGCAATTAAATTACATGAATTTAGATTGAAAACTGAAGTAGTATTTGCAAGAACATTTGAAGACATACTCTTCTGCATAAAAAATTATAAATATTCAGTATTTTCTATCATTCTTACAAATGGCACATACAAATGGCAGTATCTCTAGTGATATGGACAGAAAAACAACATTTGAAACTGCTTAATTTTTCCAGAAATGCAGCAAGTTTCAATTTCATTGCATTTACAGAGCTAATGGCTTATATTTAGCATTTTTTCAATGCTTGAAAAAAATATTCCTGTCTATAGTCAGACATTACAACTATGGAAGCATTTCCTATAACACTCTATGGAAGCAAAAGCTGGACTTTAAAGAAGCAGGAAAGAATTTTGTTCGACAAAATTCTTCAAAAATCAAGTAGTCCTCGACTTACAACCACAACTGAGCCCCAAATTTCTGTTGCTAAGTGAGACGTTAAGTGAGTTTTATCCCATTTTGCAACCTTCCTTGCCACAGTTGTTAAGACTACATGTACAGCCAAGGAACAAATGAATAGATCATAGAATAAATCAGCCAGGCTCAAATGACCACGCTCAAATTATAATTTGGTCATATTTATTGAAACTAAACTTTGTCCATAAAGTTGGAAAAAATGGAAGCAAAGAGCAGAACTTGACTACAGTAGTAATGAATGAGCTCTCGAGAGAGCCAAAAGGCCAAGTTGGGAATAACTCATCCTGAAAAGGGGCAGGTTATGTGTCGCTAAACATCAATTCCAGCTTTTGGTACATGATCAAGCTTGATCTTTTCTTATCTATAATTATCTTTCTTATTACAGTTTGACAGTCTTTCCATGATTTCAATAATAAAAACTTGTTTAATATCACATTGAGCAATGAATGGGCCCATATCTGCATAAAGCTGAAAGGATAAAACTGGAACATAGTCCTGTGGTAATAAGTGTTATTGCACAAACCAAGGCAAGGTGATCTTTGAGTCCAACTGGTACCTGCAGTTCCAATTCTTTACTTAGCTTTAAAAAAAAAAAGAATTGCAAATTAGAAGATCAGAAAGATAACTTTTTTGTTCAAAATATATAACACATAACTTTATCACATTTATTGTGAAGTGTAGTTAAATATCCACTAAAATTTAGTAAAAGATTTATAAGCAACTTTTTTTAATCAGCTAGAACTACATATGGAATGGCATTAGAATAAAATAAACATTTTAAAATAGTTATAGAAGTATATATTTGAAGAAAAACCAAAGCATAGAAATATGAATGTACCATTTTATATTTCATGCTCTTCCAATAGCATACATCTAGATTATTCTGGGAACATGGAGCTTCTATTTCAGTTTCTTTCAGACAGTTCACTGAAAAAAAAGCTAAGAGAACAAAAACAAGATAGTTTAAATGCAGCACTCAGAGAACAGATTATTCTTGGACTGTAAGTATTACTTTACTTTAGGTCTATCCCTAATGCTTCCTTTAATATGTATCAGTTTCTCCCCAAGTTTTTTTTTTTTTTTTTTTGAATCAACACTGCCACTTTTAAATTCCTTTTCAATAATAATCACGTACATTTTTGGCAATGGATCATTATTTCTGGATTCTGCAAGACAACAGGGATTTTTCCATTACTTTCTGAAGGTCGGTAATAACGGCAGTGCAGTGGTAATAATGCTTTAAAACAGATAGTGCACTTAGGATCAGGTCTCATGTAAATGAGGACAGAAGAATCAGTTGCTAAATACTCAGGAACTTCCAAATCTACTTCATCTGCAATTATCAGTGCCTATGGAAAAAGAACAGGTGTATAATGAAAATGACATAATTTATAATGTCTACTTTATATTAGAATCCTATTTATGGAATGGTACCATCTTACTGAAAAGTCTCAAAGTTAACCCTATTATTCCTATACAGGTAGTCCCACTATTGAGCCAAAAATTTCCATTGCTAAGCAAGGCAGTTGAATTTTGCCCCATTTTAGGATCTTTTTTGCCACAGTTAAGTGAACCAATCCAATTGTTAAGTGAATCATGCAATCATTAAGCAAGTCTGGCTTCCCCCATTGACGACTTTGCCTGTTGGAAGGTAGCTGAGGATGATGATCATCATCTGAGGAGAAGGGCGGTATAAAAATTAAATAAATAAATAAATAAATAAATAAATAAATAAATAATCACATGTAGTCATAAATACAAGAATTGCCAAGTGCCCAAATTCTGATCAACTGAGTATGAGGATGCTGCTAGGTGTGAAAAACGGTCATAAGACACTTTTCAGTGCCTTTGTAACTTTGAACAGACTTTGCTTGTCAGAAGGTTGCAAAATGTAATCACAGGACCCCAGCAACTGTCATAAATATGAGTCAGTTGCCAAGTGTCTGAATTTTGATCATGTGATCATGGAGATTCTGCTACAATGGTGTGAAAAACAGCCATAAGTCACTTTTTCAGTGCCATTGTAACTTTGAACAGTCACTAAAAGAACTGTAAGTCAAGGACTACCTGTACTGAATATTTGTGATGGTCTTTTGTTATAAGCAATAAATTCTTTAATCCCAGTTCCAATAATACCAGACAGGAATTACTACTATTAAGATATGGATACTGTACCACTTTTTAAATGAAATTCTTTTTCTTCTCAAAAGAGTCAGGATATAGATCTTTCAGACATTAATTTTATGCATTTCTGATTTCAGTTTTTTGGTCAATTCTGTTTCCCCTTAAAAACCATACTCTAAATGCTTAAATTTGCTGTGCTGCGTGAAATGTAATACATATGGACACCATTCCCTTATAAATTTGGTCAACCTTCTGTTATGAATACCAGTATATGCTGTTAATTTTGCCATTACTGCATATTCTCTGAGGTTAAATTCCCAGCCCTGTACCATTGGTAATATATATCTTTTCTAGTATTGTGTTAAGTTTATCCTTGCAACATGAATGTGTATCTCAGTAAATTGTGATTCCCCCCACACACACACACTTTTTTTTTTTTTTTTTTTTTTTGGTTTTTTGGAATTTTTCCTACCCGTAGGGGGGAAAAAAGTGGTTTTCTTTTAAATTATAATATGAGGTAATTTTACATATTTGTTATCTATAGTTCTTCCCATTGATGCATTGTGACTGTTTCTTTGAAATTTTGCATCTATTTTATAATTCAAGTTTTTATTTGTTCTGTCATTATGGAACTATTTATTTGATGCCTTCAACTCAATTATTGAGTGCCTGGATTAGTCCCTGCAGTTTTCTTGGCAAAATTTTTCAAAAATAGTTTGCCATTGCCTCCTTCCTAGAGATGAGAGAAAGTGACTGGCCCAAAGTCACACAACTGGGGTCATGCCTAAGGCTGTTTTTCTCATAAGGTTGTACTTTTATCACGTTTCATTTTATACAGTGTCCTTTTCAGTTTTTCTCCTTTTTTGTATCCCAGTAACTGTGTAACATGATTATCTATGAAGCCCATTAGCTAGATCAGCAACTTCCAGGGGCGGGTTTCAAAACCTGTCGCTACCGGTTCACTCGTGGGTGCGCGCTTGCATGCGCGCGCAACAGTTCTGCACAGGCACAGAAGCATCCGGGCAGGTGGGCAGAGCCTTCTGCCGCCGCTGCCGGTTCACCTGATCCGGGGCAAACCGGTAGCAACCCACCACTGGCAACTTCCTATACAGTATTAATGTTCTGTTTGGGGATTTAATCCATTCTATTAGCCATTATAGGTTACCCACTAATATAGCTTGAAGTTTGAAAGAGATTCATAACTCTCTGTTTTGAGTCTCGTTAAAGTTAGAATTTTACTCTTAAGTTCTTTCCATTTATATAAATTGACTGTTTGCCATTTTTATAAAGCTTTTTCTGGTATCAGAATTGGCATCATTTGAAACACGTAGTTTATGTTGGATAATTAATTAATCTTAATAGATGCATTTGATCCTAACCAAAACAGTTTTTATATGTTTTAAGATCTCTCTTGATTTAATGTAATTTGATACATTTCTTGATTGTTGCCTTTCTTAGATAAGGCAACAATCTTTTATTTCTTTTATTCTCTCTCCTTTTTTATGGAATTAACAAAATACCGGTAGTGGAACCTGTACGGTTGGTCCAGAGAGTGAAAAAGATCTTTAAAATTCTTTTTCTTACTAAAAATAACTTTAAAGGAAATAAATTTTCTTTAATTTTTCATCAGTTATATATATATAGTGCTAATTATACATCTTCTATAAATTCTTTGCCCACTTATTGACATTACATTTTTGCATCACTTATTTATTCTTTTTTTTGCTTGCTTTTTTCTTTTTTAAAAAATGATTAAAAGTAATTTTAAAATGCCCATTTCACTATATTGTTTTTTATTTAGAACTTTACCTTCAATATATTTTCAGATTTATAATTGAATTCTTCCTAATCTGATTTTTTCTGATAAAACTATCCTACGTACTACATTGTTGATCAACATGATGGGTATAGGAGCCACAAAATAATATAAAATATTTTTTATGCATTAGAAAAAAGAATGTAGAAAGTAAAAGAAGAGTGCTGAAAATATATTTAATTTTTTCCCAAACTTCATAAAAAGCATAAAAAATAACATTTCGTTCTACCTTTCAACATTTCCAGAAATATTACATATTTATTGCTAATTGTTTTGTGCTGTATCCAATGCAAAATTGATCTTGGTATCAACCAAAAATCATACCTCAGTGAGATTATGCTGTTGTAAAGATTTCAATTCATAGGGATCCACATATAATCCCCTTGGAAGATGTACTCTAATTGCCAGCCTGCAACTTTCTAGGCCTTCATCAGCTATACCAAAATCTACCCTAATCAAGAGATCTCTACCATAAAGAAGAAAACAAAGAAAAAGGATTTTAATAGACTTGCAGAGAATACAAAGCATCTCCAAGCATACCAGTTATATACCTCTCTGTAAAAAAGTTTTAAATATTGTAAATCTGCGATTGTAAATTTAATCACCAGGTTTTTTTTTCTATTTTTCTATTTATTGTTTTAATGTTTTTAATGTAAGCAGCCTCAGGTCACCTTTGGCTAGATGGGTGGCATATAAATTTAATAATGTAGGCATAACACTAAGTGTCACTGAAATTTAATGAACTCACTTCTTCATAATATTGCTTAAGCAAAGCTTTCATTCATTATCATCTAACCTCACATCACAGAATTTAATGTAAATGACTGGACCTAAAAAAAATGTTGGGCCAAAATAAAAAAGTGGCTAGAGAAAATAAGACAACAACCGATAAATGGAAAACCTGAGATGTTCCTACTAGGGATATTCACAGAAAATATTACATATTTTAACTGCTGTTCGTATAGTCTATGCCCAGAATTGGAAGAAAGAAAATGTACCATCTGAAGACGAGTTAATAAAAAAAATCTTGGAATGTGCCGAGGTGGACAAACTGACAAAAGAACTTAAAGAAAAAGAGGATACAGAATACTATAGGACTTGGCACAAGTGGTATAAATGCTTGGAGGGAAGGAAAAATGAAGAAGAAAATTAGGGGGGAAAGATAGAAATGTTAAAAAAGACAGAAAGGATATGTTAAAGTATAAAAAATAGGAAATAGATATGAATGAGAGAAATGTATATATAGTAATTAAAATGTCGGGGACAAGTAGTAAATTGGAATAATACAAAGAGAAAGAAGGGGAAATTGTGAATAACAAAGAAGATCACCATGCAATAGCTGTAAAGAGAGTGCGTTTATAAATGTATGTCTTGTATTGTTATATTGTGGTATAAAAATAATTTTAAAAATTTAAAAAATGTATTTGCTTATCAGATATAATTAGAAAAATGCAAAAGTGATGGATTCAGATCTTACTGAAACAGTGTTAAAAGACACTGATCAATATTTAATTGTCATAACTTACCTATGAAAGCCATCTTTCAAAAACTGTTGCGTTATCTCAGGACACATGTTCTGTGCATCTATTAAAACCAGAAATGAAAACCAGAAAAATCTTTACTTTCAACAATAGATGATCATTTGTAAAGAGCGTAATACAGAATTATAACACTTTCAAAATTTCAATATTCTTATGTCCTTAATCCAGAACAGAAATGAAATTATTGATATTGTGATAAATATAAAAATACTTCTTTCTTGAAGTAATGGCAGATAACAGTTCTTTAACTTAGTGGGTGCAAACTGTTTTAGTCCAGCCTACTGTAGAATGCAAAAATATCTTGTCCCCAAATTTCCAGCAGCCCCAATTTCCAGTATAAATTAGAAGTTTTCTGGCTGCATTGCCACATGCTTCCCACAACAAGAAAAGCTTTGCTCTTCCTTTCGATATTGTAGAAGGCCCTCAAGACCTGGTTTGCTAACAAGCCTGGGACTGCCACAAAATGGGAGAGATACTTAGAGGTCTCCATTGTTGAGGTAGCTATTCTTATTCAAATTGTAACTTACATAAAAACTCTGGCATTATACATAGACTAAAAAATTTCATGAAGGAGAGAATATCCCAATTAAAAGAATACATTTTTCTTCCACAAATTAAACCTGCAAGACAAAAAAAATCATATTATAACAAATGTACAGAATATTTTTATAGCAGAGATTATTTTGTTACATAACTATGCAAGTGACAATAAGAATTAATTCCATGTAAGGTAAGTTCTTAAATTCTATAGCTCTTCCTGTCTACTGACCTTATAAAACTTAAAAAATGTCCAGTACAGGCACTCTTTGGTGATAGGATTTTAAAGTTATAAACTGCTTATGTGCATCTCATCATACATACATTTATGGCAACTCACACTGTATATGAAATCATTTATGTGTAAATGATCCAGGCTCCCCTATCCAGGGGAGCCTGGATAGCTCAACAGACAGAGCTCTGTAATTTAACACCAGCTGTCTGCAATTAAAGTAAGACTGAATCTCGCCAGGCTCAAGGTTGACTCAGCCTTCCATCCTTTCTAAGGTAGGTAAATTGAGGACCCAGTTTGTGGGGGCAATAAGCTGACTTTGTATAAATATACAAAAGTATGAAGGCTATTGCTTAACACATTGTAAGCTGTCCTGAGTCTCCGGAGAAGGGCGGCATATAAATCAAATTTTTAAAAAAAACAAAAAAAAAATCACAATTCAATCACGTGCTCTTCATTTGTATATATGCAGTAAAAGAAATGATTTTGAATTTGGAGACTATGACTTGTATCTTAAAAACACTGGTATAACTCTCATAATGTTTCAGCAGTACAAAATCCATTGAAATCAAAAGTTTATGAAAAATAAACTTATTCTGCTAAGGACATTTTTATCAATAAAATAGACTTGTCATAAAAGTTGGTTGTGTCTAATCAACACTGACTGTATTTGAAAAATCATATATGTGGGCAATACTGGGACAAGGCTTAGCTAATACTTGGGTGAGAAAACACCAAGGATCCCAGACTAGACTATACCAGAAGTTTTTTTAAAATCCTAAAAGGCAATGATAACTCATCTATACACAGTAATCGTGTGAGCTGAGCGGCCATATAAATCTGCTTAATAAATAATGCTGCCAAAACAACATAAATATGTCCATGTTACCAGAAGGCAAACTCAAGGTGAGCTTTTATTAGTACATATTGTCCGAAGAAAGAATGGTCATGCATCGTTCCATAGATTATTTTCCCAAATATTTATATCAGGGGTGAAATGCTCCTCATTCGGACCAGATCATCTGATGATCTGGTGGTGGGTTCAGAGAACCGGTAGCAAAAATCCCTGCCCCTCCCCCCATGCCCAGCTGAGCAGTGCGATCGTCAGAGGCTTTTTTTTTTTACTTTTAAAAGCAATGCTTTTAAAAGTAAAAAACATTACGCACCACAGCTGATCACCCCCCCTCGTGCGCTGTTCTACTCACCGCATGCCTCCTTTTGGTGTGCACTGCACATGCGCACCTCACATTTGGTGCATGGTGCACACTGCACATGCGCAGCCAGCGAACTGGTAGTAAACCGGTTCAGATTTCACCACTGATTTATATGCACATCAAATAATCACACTGAAACTATGAATACTGTTATTGCCCAGCAGAAAAGTTCCTACTTGAGAATCTGAAAAGCTACAGTTGCAAACATCAGGACACTTGTTAATACTGAGAGAACTCTTTAAGAAAAACTGAGTTAATGTGCTATGAAGCATAAACCAGGCAACTATCTTTCATTTATTGGGTTTTAGCTAGATGTGCATCCCAACAGCTCTCAACAGCTCTTCCTATTTTTCCTATAACAATAATTCTTATAGAAGAAAATATTTGTAGCTCAGAGTTCAACTGTGGAGTCCTTGGTGCTCTCTGAGCTTGGTTGTTTGCTTGCAGATGTTTTATTACCAAACTAGAAACATCAGTGCTAGTCAGTGTGAAGTTTGCTCCTTTTGTATGTAATAGCTTGTCCTGACAGTGTTGTTGGGGGTGTGGTTTTCTCCTTGCTAGTTTCTTGATTAGGGTATTGTTTTCTGCTTGAATGTTTATCTGGCACAGATTCCTGCTTATCTGGGTACTGGCAGGGATGTGTCTATTGATGGCCAATTTGTCTGAAAGCCAAGCTTCCAGAAATACCCTAGCATTTTTGGATTTGGCTTGGTCTAAGATGCTCAGAGTTTCCCAGTTGAAACTGTGGCCAAGTGTGCACATGAGATTAAGAAGTTTTCATGTGTCTTTTGACATAGAAATAATCCAATTTACACATCATTAAAAAGAGACAACACAGAAGGAAACAAAAAAGACCAGAACATATCCACCAACCAGGGCAGGACAAGCTACTTTATAAAGAAGGAACAAACCCCACACTGACTAGCACTGATGTTATGCATTTGGATACTGAAACATCTGCAAGCAAACAACCAAACTTCACAACAATAACTATGAAGTACAAAAGTCTGACTCCCTAGGTGCAGCTCCCTAGGTGGCTCGGTGGCTAAGACGCTGTTGTCGATCGGAAAGGTCGGTAGTTCAAATCCCTAGTATAGGTCTCCTGCGTGAGCCGGGGGTTGGACTAGATGACCTCCAAGGTCCCTTCCAACTCTGTCCCTGTTGCTGTAAGACTGGCCAAAAGTCACTTAGTTTCTATGGCAGAGTGCACTAGAATCTGGTCCTCCTGGTGACAGTGCAACAGTATACCAGGCACGCTGCTGTGTGAACCTATCAAATGCGAACTTTATGGCTCAGTAAACTAAGTCAAGTTAATTGCTAATCCATGACAAAATTAACCAGGGGAAAGTCTGAAATGCGACTAAACCCACGGCGAATAATTGCCACAAGCACAGTACAGTATCAAAACAGGCACCTAATTTATTAGTCTGCACAAATTCCCAACTAACCTGTCGTGTCTAAGGTAGCTGCTCAGCTTGTGCTCTTTAGTCCCTCCGACAAGTGAGGGAAGAGGCAGCGGAGGGAAAGCACTTTATCTACTGTTTCCTTTTCAACAAAAGAATAATAACACAACCTCGACATTACTGTACAATCCTCCCTACTTCTTACTGGCGCTCTCCCTTCCGTTTACAACTAAGTCGCCTCCTTAAGGACTGTCCCGCCTCCGCCAGACTGAAAAACATACCGCAGATAAAGTAATATCTGCGGTAACGTCTGTTTCCCACTACCTAAGTAACCCCTGGAGAACTGAAAAAGGCAAAAGCGGCTTGTAAAGAAAAATCCCAGTGGCGTCACAAATCTTTGCAAGTTTCCCTTCATTACAGGCCAGTTCTTAGACAGCAATGCTGAGGACCAGATGCGATAGCTACGCCCTGCTGCATTTAAAGCGATGTGCCGTGGGATGAGATAACTGCTGCATCTTTTAAGGCTTACTTACGAGTACTTACGAGACCACCTGCTGCAACCGATAACCTCCCACCAACCAATACGCTCTCACAGAGTAGGCCTACTCATAGTACCATCATTAAAACAATGTTGTCTAGTAGTTCCAAGGGAGAGAGCCTTCTCTGTGGGGGCACCTACTCTGGAACAAAATACCCCCTGGAATATGAATAATCCCAGATCTTCGCACTTTCCGACATGCCCTGAGACCTTTCTGTTTCAACAAGCAGAGCTAGCATAAACATCTAAATTCTATGCCAAGGTCTTAGCAGATACATTAAGTTGACTCAATTTATTATTTACTGTTTATAAAAAAAATAATAATTATATGTTATGAAATCTTATTCTGTTCACCGCCCTGAGTCCTTCGGGAGAAGGGTGGTATAGAAATTCAATAAATAACAACAACAACAACAACAACAACAACAACAACAACAACAACAACAACAACAACCTTGGT